AGTAATCACCTTCAGAAGATAGTCTACAGCCAACTTTCCTTGTTTTTCTAAGTTAACGGCATGACAGGGAGTATGCTGAGGATGACAAGCTACCCTCATTAAAAGACACTACAGAGAAATAAGTACCGAATGATATGAGCAGACTGTTTCAGATCCTGACCTGGACAGATGAACTAGAGTACATATGTAAAGCTATTCTGAGACAGCGGGGGCAGCTGGGAATTTGGTATGAGATAGATAGATCTAAGACTTACTGTCAGTTTGCTAGTGGTGATAATGCTAGATGCTATATAAAGAAAAATGAGGGCAGGGAATACAAGTGCCTGCCTGGCAAGTGCAAGGTCCTCAGTTTGATTCCTGGTACAAAAAAAAAAAAAAAAAGAAAAAGAAAAAAGGGGAAGTTTTAGGGATGAAATAATACACTACCATGGATTTGGATTTGCTTGAAAATACTCTAGTGATTCATGCAATTCATAATAGGTACATCTTGGAAGCACCTGTATTCTCTATTAATTGATGAATGGACTAAGAAAATGCGGTTTTTATGAATAATGGAGTTGGAGCTCCACTCTGCCATAAAGATTAACTTGAGTCACTGTAGGAAAATGGATGCACCTTGAGACTTTAGTGTTAAGTGAAAGAAATCAGACACATAAGCTTAAGTATCACATGATTGCTCTTCTATGAGAAACACAAAATATAAATAAAGAGCAAAATAGATAATAGGAAGTAGCAAGATAGAACTTTTTCAAATGGGAACGGGGTCAAGAGATGGAAGAAGCGGGAGGGAGGGGCGGGAAAGGGGATAAAAAGGAACGAGACGCGTTAATGTGCACAGGCCAACACTATACAAGGAACGTGGACATTATGTACTACAAACATGGACTAAGAAAAAATGCTATAGCAGTTTAAAAACAGGAAAGAGAGAAGAAAAAGAAAAAAGGTAAGTAGGTGAAACAAGTGTGGCAAAATGTTAAGTTTGCTAAAATTTTCATATGAAAAAGTATAATAAAACAAACCTGTCATGGGCTTCCCCACTGACAGGGCAGGGTTCTGAGCTCACTTGCCATTGCTCTAAGACATCACCCAAGGCTGGGTGACAAAGGGTTATTTCAGGTGATGGCTCTGGAGGTTCAAGAGCGGGACATTAGCGTTTGCTTGGTGCATTTGCTTGGTGGGTGGTTCATCCTGATGGGTGTCTGGGTGGGTTGTGGTGGTGTAACCTTGGGGACTGTGACTGGTTCTTGGCTCTCCCTTCTCTCTGGCCCGACCTCTGCTCTCTACTTCCTGGATGCCATGTGTTGAGAGCTGTCCTCTGCCATGTCTTTCTGCGATGATGTTCTCAGAGCCAGCTAAACATGGACTGAAACCTCTGAGACCATGAATCAAAATCAACCTCTCCTCTATTCAGTTATAGGTGTTAGGTTTTTTTGAGGGGTGTCAGATATTTCTTCCCAGCAAGGGAAAGCTGGTACACTTGGCTACAGTGAGGGCCTTGTGACAGACATACAATGGCGGAAGCATGCACAAAAGAGATCACAGGGTGAGACAAGACGCCGGGGAAGGAAAGCTTGTTTTTTGTGGTACTGAGGATGGAACCCAGGGGCACTCTACCACTGAGTGCAGGGTCTCACTAAATTGCCCAGGCTGGCCTTAAACTTGCACTCTTCCTGCCTTAGCCTATGAAGTAGCTGGGATTACAGGTTTGTACTACCATGCTTTTTGAGGTGTGCTCTTTTATAACAAGCTGCTCTGGCAAGACTAACTTGGTCCTACCCTTGCAAGGGCAGTGCCTCCACGACCTAATTACCTTCCAGCAGGCCCTGCCTCTTAAGGTCCCACTACATCAACCCACCACAAGGCGACCAAGATTCCAGCACATGAACCTCTGCAGGGCAGGGATACACTCAATCATCTATAAATCACAGAGGGCTGGGGATTAAACCCAGGGCTTCCTGCATGGTAGGCCTGTGATCTAGTACTGAGTTACATTCCAGCCTCATTTCCTATACTTGCAATTCCCTGTGCATACCCTGCCTTTTTTTGGTTGTTGTTTTTTTTGAGACAGGGTCTTGCTCTGTAATTCAGGTTGGCCTTGAACTCATTATATAGCATAGGCTGGCCTTAAACTTGTGATGATCCTCCGCCTCAGCCTCCAAGTGCTGGGATTACAGGTTCTTAATTCTGATACCTTGAAACTGGCAGGATTCCTTGGTTCTCTGATCAACAGAAAAGGAGGTATATCATGGGTAAAGCCAAGTAGCAATTCCTGGAGCACTCCCTCTCAAGAACAGTACCACCATCCCATGGGCATCTCTTGAGATTAGTGCCACCATCTAGGACTTCAAAGATGCAAAGCACTGATTCTTCACACATCTCTGTCTAGCCTGTACTACAGGTCTTGGGGAACAGTGCACGACCCCAAACCTAATCAGGTGCTGACTAACTACAACTGCTGCTCCAGATGCCATTTCTCACCAGAGTAGATAAACACAGCTCTTGGCAACTGGTACACATCTACTGATCTGGAAAATTCTTTTACTCTCTTCCCAGTGGCAGAGAATATTGGCAGTTAGAAAGGATCTTATCATCTGCCAGCCACCAGAGCAATATGCGGTCAGTACTTGAACAACAGGCAGACAGAACCTTGTGAGCAGGAAGCAGCAGGCACTCTAGGATGCACTATCAGGTACACAAACGCCTAGGAGAGCAAACCCCGGAGAAGGTAGGAATGTGAAATCTCTCGGAAGTCTCAGGTGTCTGGAGGTCAGAGGTATGTATCAGGATATCCTTCCCACAGTTAAGTTTGGGTTGGGTGCCTTGTATTTGCTTCTCCTAAGGAAGAAGCACATTTAGGAGACTTTCTGGAATCAATACACATCACACGTGATTTTCTTCCCTGACCTACTTACTGTTTACCTAGAGGGTGGCCAGGCTGAGAGTGGCATAGTGCCAAGTGTCTAGGGGTGGCCCAGATGCTGACTGGGCCAGTATTTGATAGAAGAAGAGAAGTCCTGCTCAAAAGCAACCACAAGCTAGATATGGTGGCACATGTATATAATCCCAGTACTCTAGGAGGCTGAGGCAGGAGGATCTCAAGTTAAAACCCAGCCCAGACAACTCAGTGAGACCCTGTCTCAAAGTAAAAAAGGGCTGAGGATATACCTCAGAGTCAAGCCCCTGGATTCAACCTCAGTAATGCAAGAGAAGAAAAATCAACTACGCTCCCTCTGGGAAATACCTGTGGCCTGCTGCTGAGTCCTGGAGCTTGCCAGCTATGGGAGGTCAAGTCCTCATGCTTTTTGGACTCGTCACTGTCACTGCAACTCTATCTGATACAGCTAGGAAAGGCCCTCTGCTTTTAAAGACTCAAACAGCCAGATTGGGTTCTCTCAATAATCTCCCCATCTTTATACCCATAACCTTAAGTCTATTTGCAAAGTCCCTTTGTTAGGAAAGGAGGACATTATTTTGGGGGGTCCAAGGTTGTGATACACGGCATAGCCAGAAGTCATGCCTGGTTTCAAGTTCGTGCTATGCTATTCACTACCTGTGTGACCTCAGGAAAGTTACCTGGGCTCTGCCTCAGCTGCCTCCTGTACAAAATGAGTACCTAACAGTACCCACCTGCCCACTTCTTCATCATTCCCCACTTCTTTTTTCTAACAACCCCTTCTTTCCCTTTGTAATAAGTCAGACAAAAGTCCTGCAGAAGCCATGTATGGTCCCTGCTTTAGAGCAGGCTGTATCCATGTGACTCAGTCTAGACCAGAGGGGTATGAGCAGAAACGATACACAAAATTTCTGCATCACTCTAACTTAAAAGAAAAATTGAGCTAGGCGTGGTGGCACATGCCTGTAATCCCAGCACTCAGAAGGCTCAGGATCTTTTTGAGTTCGAGACCAGCCTGGGCTACAAAGTGAGCTCAACGCCAGCCTGAACTGCATAGCGAGACCCTGTCTCAAAAAAAAAAAAAAAAAAAAAAGAAAAGCTGCCTGCCTGGCAAGTTGTCTGCTTCTTTCTCCTTCTTTTGAGTTAGGGTCTTGATATGTAGTTCAGGCTGGCCTTGAACTCAGGGTAACCCTCTTGTGCTCGGTCCTTCCCTTTTTTTTTCTTTGAGACAGGGTCTCACTTTGTAGCTCAGGCTGGCCTTGCACCCATTGCAATCCTCCTACCTCAGCTTCCCTAGCGCTGGGACTACAGGCATGCCATCACGCCTGGCCTCCTTTTTCTTTCTTATGCTGGAGTTTTTTTTTTTTTTTTGGTTTTTCTCTGGTACCGGGAACCGAACTCATGACCTTGCGCTTGCCAGGCAGGCGCTTGCCGCTGAGCTAAATCCCCAGCCCCTTTCTTACGCTGGAGTATAAATGTGGCAACAACCCAGGCACAATGATGAGGATGAGAACACTGCTTTTCACAAAAGGGAAGTCAGTGAGTGAGATAAAGGAACTTTGGTCTCAGGGTGACCCATAGGACAGATCAGCTGCATAGCCTGGCAGGGCTAGGCTGGCACATGAAAGAGAAATACAGGCATGTAAGTCACTGTATTCTAATCAGTTAGCATTTGTAAAGCCTCAGCCATGTAGGGAGCACCGTACAAGTCATGGTTATCATCGCTGCTGATGCACTGCTTTGCATTTTGGGGGCCGAAAATCTACTTATTGTCTTGGGCCACCGAATGGTAGAAGAGAGACATAAGCAACATTAGTGCAGTCTGTCTAAGTAGGATGTGTTCTGCTTGTTTCTTTAGGTAATACGGAAGAGGGGCACACACTTATCGAACGGCACTGTGCCAGGCATTTCGTATATACTGCCCGACTCTGGAACTAGCTCCTTGAGGATGTGGAGGCAAGTGAACGGGCTCAGCTGTTTGGTCTGTTCTCTGAGATCACTCTGGCCTGGCAGGACCTGAGCTTGTACTGGCCTTTCTGCCAAAGGCAGGATACTGGGAACCCGACCTAAGAGTCAGTTGACAAAGTCCCTGTATTGCCTTACTCACATCGAAGTTCGGTACTTGATGTCATCCTTTTCAGCCAGCTCTTCACAGGTAAGGCCGTTATGTTCTTTCCAGAGTCCCTGACACTTCCTACAGGTCTCCTGTGGACAGAGGACAGACACAAGACAGCTTCTGGTGAGTGGATACCGCATAAGCTCCTGTTTAACAAAAGACCTGATAGACATGCTTCAGGGGCTTAGAATCTCTCAGAGGACCTCGCTCCATTTCAGCAGGACTTGTCCTTAAAAAAAAAAAAAAAAAAATTTGAGGCAGGGTCTTACTATGTTGCCCAGGCTGCCTCCACTTCCCAAATGCTAGGATCACAGGCTACACCACCATGCTTGGAGCTAGCAGGGCTAGTTCTACAGATATGTCTCAAAATAATACTTAGGAAGCATCAAAGCTGGGTGTGGTGGTGCATACTTGTAATGCCAGCACGTGGGGAGGGTGAAGCAGGAAGATTGCCACAATTTCTAGGCTAGCCTGGGCTATATAGTGAATTCAAGGCCATCCTGAACTACACAGTGAGACTTGTCCCAAAAAAAGGCACGAGGGCAAGGTTTTTCTGCTTCAGAACAAAAGTGCTGCTCCTAGTAGTCAGTGTGTATAAGGTTTTCTGAAATGCCACTGGAACACACCATTGGAGACGGATTTTATTTTCTTTTTCCTTTTTTTGGGTAGGAATCGAACTCAGGACCTTGAACTTGGAAAGCAGGCACTTGTGCTGCTGAACTATAACCCTGGCCCCTGGAGACAGATTTTAGGAACTAAGATTTAAAAATTTTATTTATTTATTTATTTTTGACACAGGGTCTTGCTATGTAGTTTAGACTGGCTTGAACTCACTACACAGCCCAGGCTGGCCTCAAACTCAGGACAATCTTTCTGCCTCAGCCTCCTGAGTGCTGGGATTACACGTGTGCGCCACCATGCCTGGCTAGATTTTAGGTCTTTAAAGTGAAGTGCTGGGAGCTGAAAGCAGGCAGGGTCTGTCTGCATATTAATCTCCACAATATCTATAGCTAACCCTCTGGCCTGGAATTGAGGAGTATCTAGATTAGGCTCAGCATGGGCCCTAAAGGAGACACTCCTGCCACTCATTACTTGTAATGTAAACATGGACATCAACCATCATAGTTCAGCTTCATTTACAAATACACGTTTTAAAAATTCACGCCCTTTAATATAAGACCAAGACTGGGCGTGGTGGAGCACACCTGTAATCCCAGCACTCAGGAGGCTGAGGCAGGAAGATCGTTGTGAGTTTGAGGCCAGCCTGGGCTACATAGTGAGCTCAAGGACAGCCTGAACTGCACAGTGAGACCCTGTCTCAAAAAGACAAAACAAAACCATTCATAGTTTACAACTTTTTTTTTGGTACTAGAAATTGAACTAATGACCTCGTGCTTACCAGGCAGTTGCTGTGTCACTGAGGTATATCCCTGGCTACAAAATATCCTTATAGGTGCTGGAAACTATCCTTGACCAATAACTAGAATTTATAGAAATGTTAATTGGACATAAATGGAAACAGGAACCCTAATAGGTACTGTGCAGGAAAAAATGGTGCAGTCATCTCTGACTGGGGAGCTGACCTAGTCTGCAGCCAGGGCAAGCTTGAGGAAGTGAAGCCTGAGATCTGAAAGATGAGTCTGCGATAGCTACCAGGCTGGGAGAAGGCAGCAGCATTCCAGACAGAGGGCAGCAGCAGGAGACACTGGCAGACAGAGGGGAAGTGAGTTTCTGCAGCTGACCTGGGCAGAGTTCAAATAGCCCTGTGAGGCCTGCGAGGGCGGTCCGTAGGGGTCCTTGTGGGGCATGATTACCAGTTTGATCTTTGTGCTGGGAAACCACAAGGTACCCAGCATGCAAGCAATATGATCAGGTTTGTGATTTTAAAAGATCATTCTGGGTGGAAGACAGGCTAGAGGAAGGAAAAAGCAGAAATGCAAGAGACAGGAGCTAGTATGGCCATCCAAGAGAGAGATAGAAGAGGCCAAGTCAGGTGGGGGGTGGGTACAAGGATGGGAAGTTTACTGATTGGGTAGAAAGTGAGGAAGCAAGACTCTGGTTTGAGTGTGGGGAGCAGGTGTCAAGAAGGAGCACTTTGCTTCTGGTTTGTGTAACCCACTGATGGGGCCTGAGGGGACGGAGACACGTATGAAGATCTTGAGTCTGATCTGGGTGGAGAGGAGCGTACATGACAGGCTACACTTCAATGCCACTGCTTCCAAGGGACACAGACATTCTTTGGTTTACTACTTGCATTTTGTTCAGTAAACAGAGAGACTAAATCAATAATGTACTTAATTAATATCCACCAAAATGTATATCAGCACAAACTGTTTTTTTAAAAGACCTTGCCCATCCAAGAAGAACTCGACAACTGTATTCATCTGCTACCACTGTTAAAAGCCAGGCCACCTCAAGAGGAACTGCCCTAAGAGGCCCCATGGGCCATGCCCTGGATGCAAAGGAGACCACTGGAGATTGGTCTGCCCTCTGAGGTGGAGGCCCCAGAGCTCAGACCCATGCTACCAGTTACTCCAACAGGAATGAGAGGGCTTGGGGCATGCTCTGCCTTCTCCCTCTGGCCAGACTGTCATCTCCATTGAGGAGTCCCGGGTAATCATGACTATGGAGGAACAAGAAAACAGCCTGTTGCTAGACACAGGTGCAAGTCTCTCGGTCCTTCTTTTCAATCCTGGCCTTCCTTCCAGCCATCATACCTCAGTGAAAGGAGTCACTGGTGAGGAGGTAATATGCTATTTTTGACAACCCTTAGGCTGTAACTACTTATTAGATCCTTCTTGCATATCTCTGTGTTCCTGAGAAACCACTTTGAAGATACCACCATGTATTACAGCAGCCATTGATATTTTCCTACTAATCTATCCATAACTGTGTAAAGTTTGTAATGTTCCTATCCTATTTCATAAATGGATGTATGTTTATAAAAAAAAAAAAAAAAAAGACCTTGCCCAGGAAACTGGTGGATAAACAACAGCTGGAGGATAGATGAGCCAGTATTTGGTTCCTAACCTAAACAATACCAGTCTTACCACCCACCAGGAAAACAGCTCAAAAACAATACATGGCACCAAGGTCGTGCTTTTTAGCATTCTTGGTGACTGAGTTATTAATTCATGGGCTTTTCTTCATCGGGGAGAAGTCCATTTTCTGGGTGAGGCACTGGCCCACAAGGGCAGTATGACCAGGCTGAGCTGGAGTCCCTGGGGCCAGAGGTCACAAGAATGCCCTTCGACAACACAGTGGTTCTCCTGTGTGCCAGCACGTGGGTTTTCAGCCCCAGCGCTTCTCTGTCATAGAAAGGCTGAGGGACTTCAGTGAACGAGGACCCACACCACCTTTTGAAGGAATTTTACCTAGATACTGAAATCCACATTATAATAAGGTTGGTAAACAGCAAGTCTCATACAGAGCTCTGTCACATGTCTTTAGGAGGTACCCTCTCTTCCGAACACTGTGTGTTTTATTAAATTCTAATTCTCTCAAGTACTGCTAGACTGCATTCCTAAACTCAACACTATTATGGCAGAAGAAATGCTTGGAACAGGGTTTCTATAACATAAAGATAACTGTGCTCTTCAAATTGTGGGGACTGAGAAGATCCCAAAGCACCACCTAGAAGGACAGAGCACAGCCCAAAGAGAAAGGCAGCACATCCCGACCCCCAGAATGGCTGAAGGCTGGTCTCCACCTCAGGGAGGCCACCAGTTAACTCGAGGCCTCAGGATTCATTAGGGTCTGGCTGTTCACTAGGTCTTCATTTGCAATGTAAAGAAAATGCCGTCTCCTTTCACCCACTGTTTGCTGCCTAAATCATGTTTAGTGGGCAAAGGAGAAGGTCAAATTCAGTCTCAGATGACCATGAGGAAGCTGGGATTTCTTCACATAAATGACACTTGCTCAATAATCCGTAGTCAAAGACCTTGGATTATCACCTCCTCCAGGTCCCGCAGGTTAGGAGGGTCTAAAGGCCTAAAACCCGTGCGTGGGGACTTGTGAGGCTGCAGGCTTCCTTTCCTCCTACCCAGCCCGCTCATTCATCTCCTGCTCAGATTTCACCCCTGCGACCTCCAGCCTACCTTGGACGTAGAATGCAGCAGAAAATGTCTCTTATCTTTGGCTGGTTCCTTTAGCAAAACCTTCAAACTCACCCTCCAGGGGACAAAAGTTGCTGGCCCAGCTATGTGGCATAAGGCTCTGGTGACCAAATCTAAACTCAGAAATTCCAGCTTTCCGCTTTGTCCCCTCAGGTACTCAAAAAATGGTTAATACCGTCAATCCTCAGAGGCAGTGAGGTGAAAGATGAGGCACCCGGCTGTTTACAATGCTCAGAACACTCTTGGGACCTGAGCTTTCAGGCCACCTGCATCCTCCAGCTGTCAAAGCTGCTGGCCCTCCCTACCCCCAGGCCCTAATGACATATGGACACTAGCCAGAGGTCCTCAAAGGCACTAACACTGAGACAGATGCTAGAACCCTGGAGAATCACGAAAGCCAGCCAAAACGAAGCCCAGATAGGTCCACTGGTCTCCTTTCTTGTCCCCAGTGGAAGCCAACAGCTGCTGTCTCTCCTGGGTCCAGGGTGTGCACGCCAGCCCAGCTGGAGAACGGGGGCCCTTGCCTCAGGGAGCTCAGCCTTCGAAGGGGCAAGGTGGATCTGCCAGCAAATCAGCAGTGCAGCCAGAGTCAGGGGAAACAGACCCTGCAGCAGGGAGAAGGGTGAGACAGGATTTTCCGAGGAGCTTATATTTCCAGGGGATGGCAGGAAAATCCCAAGTAACTAGCACATCCATGTAGCCACTAAAGTCCTTTCCTGGTTTCTTAGCTTGGACGAGAGTTACAGCCAAGTGTTTAACACACAGAATAGTCTCTCAAAGCTAATGTCTCCAATCAGATTTTACTGGCACATCTTTGGTATATAGAACACATCCATCACACAGAATTTACACCTGGACATGATATAACTTTTTTTTCCCCCACATTCTCCTACCGCCCTTAAATCCTTCCTTACCATCTCCATTTATAAAAGCTTTGTTTCCATATTTTCTTTTCCCCTCTTTCCTTTCCCCAT